GTTTTCTTCTGATTTTGATGAAACTTAAAATGTAAGTTTATAACCCATAGATCTTGGATCCTTTCAATATTCGCGCATATCGGATAGTAACTTCCTGAATTATCACCCCTGATTGTACAAAAAATTGCATTTTTAGCTCGAGGTCCCTCTAGATGTCACAATTATTATCTGATTTAAAAAAACATTTAAATATATCACTGTTACACCGTAATTTTGGTTGAGTTCAAATTTTGTGAATATCAGACCAAAATGGCCGCCCCTTGTACGCAAATAGTGTATAGCATCTGGTATATCAAGCTTGTGCGCCCTCTAGAGGTCACAATTTTGACCTAATTTTGATGAGAGATGAAATACATGTATATAACCCAAAGATCTTGGTTCCTTTTGATATTCGCGCGTATCGAATCAGAACTTCCTGAATTATGGCCCTTGAATGTACATAAATCACGTTTTTAGCTGGCCGTCCATATAGAGGTCACAATTTTTATCCGATTAAAAAAAACATGTGAATATATATCACCATTAGACACTAAGATCTTGGTTCCTTTTGATAAACGCGTATATCCGAACATTACTTCCTGGATTATGGCTCCTGATTGTTCGAAAAATCACATTTTTAGCTTGTGGATTCTCTAGAGGTCACAAATTTTTTTCAGATTTTAAAAACCGTTTAAATATTTCACCATTCCACCATAATAAAAGTTGAATTCGAATTTCGGGAAAATCGAGATGAAACTGTCCGACAAAATGGCCACTCTTTGTACGCAAATTGTGTAAAAGTATGCAATACGAAGATTGTGGACCCTCTAGAGGTCACAATTTTTATACGCACACATTGGAAATGTAGTCATATATTGCCGTCGCCCCCGTCCGTCGTCCACAATTTCTTGTGAACGTTCTAACGCCAAAATTTATCATCCAATTGTTTTAAAATTGATATATGTTGTTGAAATTAGTGAGATGAAGAAGCCTATTTAATTTCAATAATTTCTGTTTATAACGTTATGGCCCATGTATCACTTTGTTGAACCTTGTGAACGCTCTAATGCCAAAAGTTAACATCCGATCTTTGTGAAATTTATATGAAATATTTAAATTAGGGAAACGAAGAAGCCTATTGAATTTCAGCAATTTCTGTTTATTACTTCTAGAGTTATGGCCCTTGTTTCATTTTGTTTAACCATGTGAACGCTTTAACCCCAAAACTTATCATCCTATCTTTCTGAAATTTATATGCATTATTTAAATTAGTGAAACGAAGAAGCCTATAGAATTTCAGCAATTTCTGTGTATTACTTCTAGAGTTATGGCCTCTGTTTCACTTTATTGAACCTTGTGAACGCTCTAATGCCAAAAGTTAAAATCCGATCTTTGTGAAATTTATATGCAATATTTAAATTAGGGAAACGAAGAAGCCTATTGAATTTCAGCAATTTCCGTTTATTACTTCTAGAGTTATGGCCCTTGTTTCACTTTGTTTAACCTTGTGAACGCTCTAACCCCAAAAGTTATCATCCTATATTTCTGAAATTTATATTTGAATTAGTGAAACGAAGAACCCTATTGAATTTCAGCAATTTCTGTGTATTAGTCTAGAGTTATGGCCCTTGTTTCACTTTATTGAACTTTGTGAATGCTCTAACGCCAAAAGTTATCATCCGATCTTTCTGAAATTTATATGCATTATTTAAAGTAGTGAAACGAAGAAGTTTATTGAATTTCAGCAATTTCTGTTTATTACGTCTAGAGTTATGGCCCTTGTTTCACTTTATTGAACTTTGTGAATGCTCTAAGTCTAACATCAAAAGTTATCTGCCGATCTGTATGAAATTTACATGCGTCATTTAAATTAGTAAAGAGAAGAATCCTATTGAATTTCAGCAATTTATGTTTATTACTTCTAGAGTTATTGCCCTTGTTTCACTTTGTTCAACCTGGTTAATGCTCGATTGATGAAAGTTATCATCCGATATGTATGAAATTTATATGCATCATTTAAATTTGTGAAATGTAAAAACCTGTCAAATTTTAACAATTTCTGTAGATTACTTCCAGAGTTGAGACCCTTGTTTCAATTTGTAGAACCTTGTGAACCCTCAAACGGAAAAAATTATAATCTGATCTGTATGGAACTGTCTTGTAAAGGCCCCTAATTACCTACAAAGGATTAAATATGCGACAACCCTTGTCAACCGCTTGGACGATTTAGCCGCTGTGGGCGTATGTTACGTTGCCTGGCAACCTATCTTTCTTTATCATATTCTGATGAAACTTAAAACATATCTTTATATCCCAAAGATCTAAGTCCCTTTTGATATTTGCGCATTTCAGACCATAACTTTTGGATTATTGCCCCTGATTGTACAAAAAATCCTGTTTGTTTTTAGCTTGTTCTCTATCCATCTCTTGCAAAATGTGGGCGTATCCTGCCCGGCAGCCACTGGTTCCTTATGCCTTCCACACAAGTTCAAGGGCGCGGGATGGTGATGACTAGTCATCTTGTTAAATTTTGTTTTTAAAAGCCCACATAGAAATGTGGACATATATTGCCGTCGCCCCCGTCCGTCCTTTTGTCGATCTGGACGTCTGTCCGTCCATCGTCCACAATTTCTTGTGAACGCTCTAATGCCAAAAGTTATCATCCAGTTGTTTTAAAATTGATACATGTTGTTTGCATTAGTGCGATGAAGAAGCCTATTTAATTTCAATAATTTCCGTTTATTACGTCTAGAGTTATGGCCCTTGTTTCACTTTGTTGAACCTTGTGAACGCTCTAATGCCAAAAGTTAACATTTAATCTTTGTGAAATTTATATGCAATATTTAAATTAGGGAAACGAAGAAGCTTTTTGAATTTCAGCAATTTCCGTTTATTATTTCTAGAGTTATGACCCTTGTTTCTTTTTGTTTAACCTTGTGAACACTCTAATGCCAAAAGTTATCATCCTATCTTTCTGAAATTTTTATGCATTATTTAAATTAGTGAAACGAAGAAGCCTATTGAATTTCAGCAATTTCCTTTTATTATGTCTAGAGTTATGGCCCTTGTTTAACTTTATTGCACCTTGTGAACGCTCTAACCCCAAAAGTTATCACCCAATCTTTGTGAAATTTATATGCATGATTTAAATTATTGAAACGAAGAAGCCTATGTAATTTCAATAATTTCAATAATTTCTGTTCATTACATCTAGAGTTATGGCCCTTGTTTCACTTTATTGAACATTGTGAACGCTTTAACGTCAAAAGTTATCATCCGATCTTTCTGAAATTTATATGCATTATTTAAATTAGGGAAACGAAGAAGACAATTGAATTTCAGCAATTTCCATTTATTATGTCTAGAGTTATGGTCCTTGTCTCACTTTATTGAACCTTGTGAACGCCCTCACATCAAAAGGTATCTGCCGATCTGTATGAAATTTGCATGCATCATTTAAATTAGTAAAGAGAAGAATCCTATTGAATTTCAGCAATTTCCATTTATTACTTCTGGCCCTTGTTTCACTTTGTTCAACTTTGTTAATGCTCGATTGATGAATGTTGTCATCCGATATGTATGAAATTTATATGCATCATTTAAATTTGTGAAACAGAGGTCTATTGAATTTTATGGTGGTTGTGAACCCTGTATGAAATTTATATGCATTATTTAAATTAGTAAAATGAAAAAGCCTGTCAAATTTCAACAATTTCTGTAGATTTCTTCCAGAGTTGAGACCCTTGTTTCAGTTTGTAGAACCTTGTGAACCCTCAAACGGCAAAAATTATAATCTGATCTGTATGGAACTGTCTTGTAAAGGCCCCCAATTACCTACAAAGGAATAAATATGCGACAACCCTTGTTGACCGCGCGGATGATTTAGCTGCTGTGGGTTCTCTGCCTGGCCACCTATCTTTTCATTTGATAATGGATAAGGAAAAGTTTGAGTTAACAATTTTAAAGAAAAGAATCTCTTCTCTGGAGCTCCAAAATATTTTTGTATTTAAAGGGTTAAAGTCATTCTGCATTGGAGTTGTTTCAATGACATTTAGTAATTGAACTGGAAATGCACAGAAAACAATTCTATGGAATGCGATTGCAGGAATTCTATAACATTGAATTGTGTCATATGTATGTATTAAAGTTATTCAGTAATATTACAAGATAATTTTTTTGTATATTTTCAGTTTATTTAGACTCATATAAAACCTGTAATCAATTGGATTATGTTATCAATAAATATCGTACATACACTATCACTGGTGAAAGACAACCAGAAGTGAAATCTAGTGTTTTTATGAAATGTCACATAACATTGAAGGCGGATACCCATAAGGGAAAGGTGTGTTTTACAATGATGGCATTTTCTCCGGACCAGGATTGCCAAATGTTTATCTCATACTATGATGGTGATTCAACAACGAGCGGTATAGGAGCTGTAAGTTATTTATTAGAGTTTCACACTATTGTATTTGTTAAGGTCATTATTAGGGTTTCAAACTGCTTAGCTTGTGAGGAACAATTCTGTTTGTTAAGATTATTATTCTTCTTTTTAGGCTTTCAGACATGAAAGTACTATTGTTTTTACTAAAATTATTACATGTTTCGGTACGTATTGCTTTCGTAAAAGATTTTTTTTTTTTTTTCTCTATTTTAGTCTGAAGTTTCAGCCAAAACTATGCATTGTGCAAATATTCTAAAATCGTAGATTTTGATGGCCTCTGCGGAACTATTTATTAAATGTAAATTGGGTCATTTTTGACAAACTGGAATAGTTTTACGGATAGGACAAAAAATTGACCATATCTCGGTTGTTTGTTAACGGATCATCGTCGGGTTTTCATTTTTGGATTCTTTGACTAACGTTTTTTTCGAAAGTATTTGAGGTATCCAGTTGAAACTTTGTAGGAATGGGGAACACATTGATGCCTTCAAAATTGCATATTAAAAAATTTTGTGACAGCTTCCGGAAACTTTTTGAAATTGCAGAGGCCTTCCGATTTTTCCCGAACATGAATAGTTCTCTCTATTTTAAAAATAGACTAAAAATGACATATGGTGGTGTTAACCCCAGATATTGTCTTTCATTTTCAGACACTTGTTCCAACCGTTTGGCCATCAAATTGGATTTTGCAAAATAACATTCAAATCGTTATATTCAGCCGCCATTTTGATTCCGATTTTCGAAAACGTTTTTTTGTTTTTAACCTACTCCAAATGGAAACAATTCTTAGGGAGCCAATTTTTTAATTTCAATTTTGTTTTCTTCTGGTATCGCTTTTGAATTTTTTCCGACTTTTGACCTTCTATCTTGTGACCTAGTCGTTCAATGACCCTTGACCATTGCATATATGATAACCCTGATGTCTACTAACATCTAATACAGAGTGGTTCAATGGTCAATTATTTGTCCTTATATAAACATGCACAGTTATCTGCCTGACTGCACCGTCCGTGAGATTTTCTGAAGTGATCAAAATGTAGTCTTGCCCACGTGAATTTCGATGTCGCAGCAAATATACGTCATAAATAGCATCCACGTGGTATTATACAAACATGTATTGGTATATAAAGCCAAGTAAAAATACACTCATTACGCGCTTCGACTTTCGTGTTTATTTAATAGCGAACGTGAGCACAAATTTCTATTGTAATCTTTGATTTAATTTTTGATTTGGGTGATTTCGGTACAGAGCTAGCTGTAATAGCTTTGTTTCATTTCTAACTTTTTAATCCTGAGCGTGGCAAGATAAACTCATTACAACATTTTGGGATTTACTTTTATTTAGTGATTACAACCTTCGTTTACGTGGCGCTCTATTTACTTTAGGAAATAAATATTTGCTAGCTCTAAATAAGCAGAACTATTTGAGATCGGAAAATAACCGAAACAAATTTTTTATTGGGAGTCTTTCTTTTCCCGACACTTTTCGGTAACTTGGTGTAAACTATTTTCAATCATATTTAATTATTCTGTAGCCATAATCCTTGATCGACGGACTTAGTTTTTTTTTCTAGATAGAAGACTGAGCCCTGCAAGATGACATCCACCGATGATTTGCTATCCAGCATTGGATTGGACAAGTATCCCTATGATTTGAGCACTATAACCAAACTACCCATGGCAAAAATCACAAATAGGCTTATACTAGACATTGTTAATAAATTTCCGACAACTACGAAGCATTGGTCTATCATAACTGCTTTACATGACGACTGTGTGACGTTTGGTGACAATTACATTCACAAGACTGGTCAGACTGAAGACAAAGACTAGGAAGCTGGGTAAAAGTAAGGCAAAGTCCAATAAATGTATAAAGTCATACGACGATTTTATTGACACCCCATTTTTTCCATCAGCAGATACTAGTGAAATTAATTTAATAACTGATTTAAATAGGTATTTGCGGCGATTGTCAAAGTGTCATAAAACCGCAATTGCCCAGTTAAAAAATCGACTTCGGAAGACTAAAACATCATACGGCACTATATAGTTATTTATCTGTGGGACAAAAAATAAAGTGTTAAATTAATAGATTTATAGAGGTCTTTATCTCTCACTCTCCGCATTACATGCCATTATATTTTCCTCGTACTTTATCCGACAATTTATTTTTCATAACAAACATCATACTGCACAATATTTATTTATCTTTGGTACTAACATTATAAAGTGTTACATTATAGACGCCTCTCTCCCTCTCTCTTTTGCTCCCTCTGTATAACATGCCATTATAGACAGACCCGGTGTCTGTGGGTGTACAGAAATGAAAGCACTGTTCTTTTTAATACATGTAGTAGGCTAATCTTTAAACAATTCATGTCAAACGTCGATCTTTTCATATCCAGTTAAACGTGTATTTTAATTTCCACTGCAAGCATTATAAACAGTTAATATTAAGACATTTGATGGCGTGGGTATATTGTTAAAACAACTAAGCGTTTGCGCATGCGCACACATGTCAAATTCAATCGTCTCATCGAGTGTATTCCGTTACTTCACAGCAAGGATATAAACAATGTTTTCCGACTGCGATAATTGAATTTCGTTTCAGGGGAGTACGTTTCGGTTTTACGGCTACCAAGGGACATAACTCTTATTTTCACCAAGAGTTATCTGCCTTGATTATGGAGGCCGGGTAGATTTTGAAGCATTTATAACAATTTCTAAATGGTTATATCCTCAAAAATCAAATGTGGTCAGACTTCCATTGCTGATGAATGAAGTTTTTATGGTAAGTCTTATCATATAATATTAAAATAATCCCGAAATAGTGTCTGTTTGTTGTTAAAAAATTGAGTATGAACCACTCTATCTAATATCAAAAAGTTTGGTCTTGAAGTATAACTAACTTTGTTTTATTAAGTATTCAAAATAACAGGTTTTTCCACTTTAAAGGAGAATACTACTGCAAAAAGCTGTTTTAATATGAAAAATAACCTTAATATAGAATATTTTTGGCCCTGCGAAATTTTAAAAGTCATTCTGAATATTTTTACTAAGGAAAAATATACCCAAAAAAACGAATTCACATTTATGCATATCTGCAGCCTTGTTTTGATTTTTTTTCCGTGAGTGACATCAGAGACGACAGATGTAAATTTCCCTATAGAAGGGAATTGCAACTGAGAACTGCATCCCGTCGTTTTGACTAACTGGAAGCATAAACATGGTCAACTGCGTTGCTTGAATGATGATGTACTAATAGCACCAACAATAAATCAGGAAGGTGTCATATTTTTAAAAATTTCCAAGTGAGATAACACACAGAAAGGTCTGGACACAGCGATGTCAACGAGGCAAGAAGGGCAGGGCTGTTCTCCATCAAAACACGCTTCTCTTATTCGGAGCATTTCGACTTATCTGCTTACGAACGTGATCCTGCTCGATTGAAGGAATTGGGATATGAAAACCCAAGAGTGAAACTCCCGCCAGATGCCGTGCCCACATTGTTCCTGTGTTAATTTTGACAGTTCAACTGCGACTCAGGCTTACAGAAAGCGACGTTCAACCGAGGTAAGTAGTCGGTTCTGGCCTAAGTACTATGTCCAGTGACCAGTGAAATTTAAATAATACTGTCGATCAAGATATAGCAGTTACGTTATATTCTACGTTAAAACTGTGCATAGTTCTATGGTGAAACCCACACGCTTTCAAAATCTAGCAATAGAAATGACTGATGTAACCATAGCCTAAATACATGTACTAATGTAAATTAATATCCCCTTTTCGAAGCGTCTTTCGCATCAGTAGTAGGTGTGTAGGCCTATGTCAATGATTTTCACAGTCGCTCATAGATAGTCCTAGATGTAGGAAGCCTGTCAGTTTCAGCGGTACTCCGATAGGCCTATACATAACCTTCGTTTTTCAATTGTTGAACAAAGAAAGGAGGCTAGGACATATAATACCATATTTCCCTATCGCTAGGGTAAACTTATTGGAATTAATAGTTTATCTCTGATATACTTTCGCTGATGAAGCGTGAACATCAATTAATGAAGCGTAAAGTTATCGAGAATCGAAGGACTGTGATCAGACACGATACTCTGACCTAATCTGAACACAGCCTTCACAGCATTATGGCTGATGGCCCCACAGACGCCGGAAGCATGAAGGGCGTGGGTGTTTTTCTTCAGAAATTAGGCCTAAAATAAAGTTTATGGTGCATGCTGAACATTTCTATTGTAGATTGCTAAATACCTATATGCTAAGGAGATGACTTTAATAAATAAACTTTTGTTTGTTTTTATATCCTATATTTGTTAATATTATTAATATGTGAATTCATGATGACCAATGTTATATCCAAAATAAAACTAAAACAAGCATGTAGAGCAATGTAGAAAAGGATGGGTTATTACACTAAAGACTATTAACTAGAAGGCACATATACCACAGTGTTGCTATTTCAAAATTATTCTTGTCTGACATATTTACCGAAAATAAAGGGGCATAACTTTATTTAAGCAAACGGATTCTGACTACAATAAAAAAAAATCATGTGTCAACAAAATATCGTGCGTAATAAAAATAGGTGCACCTCTCTATTTTTCAAATTTAATTCCCGTACGGTATTCAAATTTGTGTCTGTAATATTCCTACAAAATTACGTTTATTCGTAATAGGCCTACTAAAGAAAGCTTGCCGACCCGTACCTGCTTCATATTCACACCAAAACATTCCTCCAAAATGATGTGTCTTCGTTTATTCGACAGAAGCTGACGGCAATACGTCAGTGCTGAGAATAGTTTGTGATGACGAAACATCGTTTGTCTTCTTTATAAAACAGTATTTTAGAATTCCATCGGGGAAACATCAAGGCCAGTATCAATGCAACCATGCTCGCCATGTTATTGTTATTTGCCCATGTGACATCTTTTTTCCCGCCAAGATGAAACATCCTAGTTAGACATTTAGAAAGTAACGCAAGCTCGTGGGAAGTGCCATTTTAGCCGCGAAGTAGTTTGTTAAACTGAGAGAACAGGTGTCCGGAAGAGTAAGCTTACATTTAGTGAAGTAGCCGTGTAGCGTAGCTGTGTAGCTGGGCCATTCGACGTACTGTCGGTACTCGGTAGATATGCACATCTTGGCGTTTATTAAAATCAAATTACTCATCTTTTTTAGCTGAAAAGTAGCCGGAAATTAGCCTAATTTGCCGGTTGCCTGCTTCTAATGACATCTCTGGTTCCAAACCATCATTGTTATTGCTCTTGCTCACATTTCTAATTGGCTCATACTGATAGGGAAGAACATTTGAGGCGAAATCAATGTCTGACAAGCTGTAACTTTCTGCCAATGCCATATTGAAATATACATCGACAGCTACACCTCTTGCGTCATGTCACGTGATTTAGCTTCAGCTCATTAATTGACCTTTCCGTCCGAGACCTGAAGCTCCTCCCACTTTTTATAATGACGTCCTATATGTATTGAATACTGAAGCGTTTCTTGATTGAATTTAGAGTTTAGACTACTTTTTTTATACATTTCACCGATGTGGTTGCTTGTATAGTTGATTTATGCTGACATTCGTATTTCGTGTAGCATATAGCAGATCATGACTCATGCTGGCATTGCACAATGGGTTCTTTGGGTCTGTACAGCGCAGTGGACGCTTACGGCTAGCCCCCGGATCCATTCACTTTTTTTTAATTGCCTGTATGGTTGTGTTTTCCTGAGTATGATGTCCTGTCCGTGTATTTGTTTTTGTGTAAATTTTGTGTGGTGGAGTCCCCCTGTACTTACTATTAGACAACATTGACGCGCCTTAGACATAAGAAAGCATGGCAATGGCAGAATGACGGTCAATCTTGTGCCAATCTTTTGGAACTTACAGCTAGTTTTGGGGAATATTGTGGAACGAAGTAAAGACACCAATGCTCCAGGTACTATAATGAAGGATATTTTCCTGACGTGAACCTGTTTTAGGCGATTGGCAGTTCAACCATCAATCATTTAATGTGTGACTGAACTGTATGAAGTCCGAGCTGGCAAGAGACAGAACGAGAAACCATATTTATTTCGTTTAAATTTGACCTTAAAGGAAGTAACAGACTACCATTGTTGCTGCCAGACTGGGTACGCAAATTCTACTTGTTTATTAGTTTATTATCACTTATGTTGATAAATGTAAGCATGGTTGAGTTATTACAAGTTAGTGAAGCGTAATGAGGGAGGGGGGGATACAAGTATCATACGTATAATAACGTATGACATTCTGCGGTCCTGCAACTTTTAAATTAATAAGGATCATCACAGTTGTTTGGCATAGTCTGGTCTGGATTTGATATAAATTTAGAGAAAACCAAGGTTGGCTAAAAAAAAGGGTACTTCTGTAGATTGCAAGGCCTATAAGGCCTATTAGGCCATCCTAAACACGAAGTTACGTTACTGTCGTGACTTGTACTGCTATTACTATATATTGAAATACCAAAACTTTAGACAGCGAATATATACACGTTTTATAACTGGTGTAGTATGTTTATAGTAGACCAGGCCACCCCATATTATACTCTTCAAAAAAAGTAGGGGATATTGAAATGCAAATACCTATGCAGGTTGTGATATGATAAATAGTCATGGACACTTGACATGCTTTGAGAGTATTTTCACAGATGAAGAACTTATCGCCCCTACAGAACCACTTCAAGGAAAGGTTGATGAAAACGGCCGCTTGCTGGTTTATTTACTGTTTAGTGTATTTTTGCTTTAGTGTGTTACGTTTAATTTGATCTGGGATTGGGAGACTTGTTCGTCGACATCAACATCAACTGACAACACTGCAAGAATTGGCCGTGGCACTGCAAGAGGAGTGGGTCAGATTGACCCAAATCGTGATTGGACGGTTGATTAGGAGCATGCCATGACGAATTGCTGAATGTCTGAGGATTGGTGGAGCAATTACTCATTATTAAGACAAAAATCAAAAACGTCCATTTTCACTTTTGACGGTGTATCTCTTTGTGAGTGAAATGGGGCCGTCAGATAAGTCGCCCATATGAAATGTTTATGTTCATGTGTAGGCAATTGGCCTGTTATTAACATACACTGGTTACCTCTAATAAAAACAGCAGTGCATTTCCGCAGTTTTGTATTGTTTCTGAATATCCCCTACTTTTTTTGAAGAGTATATGTTCCTTTCAACTAGTAAAATAGAAAAAACATGCCATGATTTTATCATGATGATTTAATGGGTAAGATGTGTGGCTACTGCTCCCTTGCTGTCGGGCTTGTGATTTGCACTCCCAACACTGGCAAATGACAGGCTTCAGTTTTCTCCCATGTACACCACTAATACAACAATGAAGATAAACCAAGACTAAGAGGTGACAAGATTGATCCTGTTACAGTAATCCGCATCCACATTATAAACACAATGTCATTTCGACATTTCATGAAAGAATACACTTCACGAGTGTAGGTACTGGTAAGTAATAATATTCAAAAGTATTAATAAAATGTTATTTATTTTAAAACACATGTAGTGTTTAGGCTACATCTAAATGACTAGATATAATAATGCAAACAATTTTACAATGTATCAAAAGGGAACAGACTTTGCAGAGAATGAAATTGTGAAATCACATGTTAAATTCCTTTGTAAGAGTTTGAAAAATTAGCTTACGGGTATATGTGGTTATCGAAGATTATTTATAATATTAAATAATATTAAGCAAAATACCAGTAAATTTTTTGTTAATTCTTGATATTTTTTTTTTCTTCTTCAGGAATGTTGCTGTAAAAGAATAAAAAAGTAACTAATAAGCTTATAAACTGATTATAAAATGTACACGTAAATAATGTGGTGTGTCTATATAGGCCTAAAAGGTATGTTATGTACAAATAATATATACAAGATGTAAGCTTATCCATTGAAATTGCAGTATTATTCCACTTAATTGACACCAGCATCAAAAATCAAAACATGATATTTTATGTCAGAGTTTTTCACAGATACCCAACAAATTTGTGTCATGAAATTAAATGATGAATATTTACCCTGATATTTCACCTTAAAGATGGGTTCCCAGAAAAGTATTTATCGGGTGGTTATTTCCAATAAAAGTATGGTAATTTTCTTATATATGGAAAGTAGAGATATCCAATCTTACTAGAAAAATATTGGATTCCCCAAAAAACACTCATGGAGTATATACAGGACAAAAATGTAAGGGTTCCCCTAATCAACAGCCCGACGATTAGGAATTTCTGCACGCGTGATGTCAAAGGTCACACGCGAACAAGTTGATAAACTTTATGAAGAGTTAGACGTTCAACACTTTGAGATAAAAATGACGGAAAAACACGTGGGTAGTGGATAATCCGAGAATTTAATTAGGATTCGATATTTGTAATAAATAGTAAGCGATTAAAGACAACATCGTCTTATGTATGCAATGAATTCTCCTCTGACTTCTAAGAGAGGTAAGTCCCATGACGTAAACATGACCTGGTTTGATCAAATTTTTATAGCAGGACATTCCTTCGCAATTACAATGTTTGAGAAGGATTTGAAGCAAAATTAAGACAAATTAATTAGTTTGAATAAGTTTTTAGTCCATATATACCATTAAATCACCCAGTTTGTACGCGGGAACCCATCTTTAATGTGACTAGCAAGACAAAACAACAAATTTTCAGAGGAAAAATTTATTTGGAAAGAATAGGCCTAGTAACAAGAAAAATGGGGGTAATGCTTTTCTGTCTTTGTATGATCTGTATTAATGTCCCTTGTAAACCCTTGATTGGATAACAAGCTGATATATATTTACCTGTCAACCATTTGTCTGTTTTTTATTGCTGCAGCTGAATATGGTTCTGGATTATTTTCTATTGGTCCAGGCAGCTTCACAAAAAGTGCTGAAAATCAGTTGATTTAACATGTCATTTGAAATACAAAGAAAGTACTCAAGCATTACATTTAAGACTACTAGTACTAGTTCAACAAGCCAAATAATAATGCCTGTAGAAGGCACATCTGGTCTAGCCTAAATTGCCTATCTTTACGAGCTATCATAGAATTAGGCCTAGGCCTCTAGTGTAACCTTCATTTGATTGTGGTAATAGAGTAATAATAGGCGTACTATAAGACTTTAAAGAGTGTACTACAGACTGTCCGGTTAGACTGTCTAGGCCTAGCCTACCGTGGGGCTGGAAGGGGTGGGCATAGAAATTCCCACCTTGTAGGCGAAATCTGCAATACAGAATGGGAACTGAGAAGAGTATGAACTGAATGAATGTTATAGAATAATGTGAGATAACCTGTAAAAATACCATAAAGTGTAACATACACTACATCAATCTGTTTCACAGAGGATTACGAAAGTCTCTAATATCTCTGTAAAAGATGACTACCTTTAACACGTGACGTCTCATAACGCGGCGTCAATCATTGGGTCAATGGCACTGTGCATTGTTTACATAAGACGTTCTAGTTCGGGCAGAATGGAGACTTTTACTCATTTAAATACCCATTTGCACTAAATAGGAAATAATATTTACCTACAAATACGTCAAACGCCTTTATTTATTTTTCTAATACATATAAAAAATGTTTTAGAATTTAATTTGTCGCAGGAAAAAAGTTAATATTTCTGCCTCATTAAGTCTCATCGATGTCATCCTTATCAGTGATTGTAGTGGCCTAGCGAAAATTCACTGCTGATCAGTGTGACACTACACATGTTGGTCCCGGCGTTTTGACAAATGGCGGATGTTAGCAGACGACGTGTTATATAGGTGAACACTCTTTCGTAGTCACGAAAATGTGACAGGCATCATAGTCACCAGTGCAGAATGATTGGCAGCTGTCAGCCATCACCTTGGAAATAACAAGGGAAATAATTTGAACAACTGGAGGCAGACAACATTGACTACTACATAAATGTTAAAACATGTTTTCCTGCTATTCCAGGCCATGAGTTTAAAGTAGAACAATATAGCCTTATTTTTATCGCTACCTTTGACAACCCCCACATAACAAGTGACGAAAGAAATAAATAAACATTCAATGTTTTAATTTTTCTATATATACCCCCACCCCCTCCCCAACACACACACATCATATTTATAACTTATATTGGCTACCACAGAAGGATTTCTTTTTATTCAGATTGGTGTCACAGCAGCAGGATTTTCTTCATCGGCCACAACAACAGGATTTCCTTTAGGTTATCCTTCACAGCAGGGATTTTGTTCAGATTACCCCCCAGTGGGATTTTTCCTGCAGATTAGTGCTCATGGCACGAATTTGTAAGGATTGCATGGTCCCGTCTATTTATATTTTTATAATAATATTAGTATTAGTATGGACCCAATGATTTTATATAGATTGCCTCCTCACAGCAGCATTTTTATTCTGATTAGCCCCCACAACAGGAGTTTTCTTTAGATTATCCATCACATTTTATTACAGCATATTTATTTTTATTATTTTTATTACAGCATTTTTATTTTTATTACAGCATATTTATTTTTATTACAGCATATTTATAGTGCCATCCTCGTGGGTTTTCTCCGGGTCCTCCGGTTTCCTCCCACTGCTAAAGACCCTTACGCGTAAGCGAATTATTGAAATAAAATTAAACCATATGTTAGTCCCGAAATGACCTGGTTTGTGTCGAGTGGACGTTAAACCCCATTTCTCTCTCTCTATATATTTATAGTGCGCCCTTTCATAAATCTTGTTCAGGGGCACTTTACAAAGTATTTAAAAGGAATTACCATTATATTTATTTATATAAGCGAACTAGCTGCATCATTTTTGTGTACCTACATGGATAATGTCTGCTGTGGAAAATTATAAGTTATATATATAGGCTAGCGGCCAAGGCCCAAAAAGGGGCTTAAATGGCGGATACCCCTACCCGAAGTAGAACAAAACACTTTGGATATTTTTTGATACATGTAGAGTCACATCACCAGAACTCAAAACTGGTTCTTGGGCAAATTTTCAACATGGCCCAATATATTTTTTTTTTGCACTTTTACCAATGGTCGAGGTTTCTTTAACGATAATAGATTTGATGGGGGTAGGGGTAGATTTTTGGTTCTTGTTCTTTGATGCTGAACAAACTTGAAAATCATTTACTATCATCTGAAAGAGTAATAGGTGACAAAGTCATATTTTTGGTCAAAACTTTTAAATTTGCATATATGACGTAATTGTGATGTAATAGTGACATCATTGTTATCATATTGTCATGAAAGTGCCAATTAAAGGGTAATTTGTTAATTAAACTTTGGAATCCTTATCTTAAAAACACAGATTTTGATTTTGAATAATCCATTGCAACGGATTAATAGAGTTATTATATTTAGACAGTAATACAATATGGTTTATTCCATATAAAGAGTCCACCAAGAAACTTAAAATCATAGTGTTTTTGTTATTTTACGAAATTCCAAATGTTCTAAATGCTACAATGATATATCAAGTGAATAAATTTAATCAACAGATTGGTTTAAATATCATCATTTGATATATTGCCATTGCATCATCCGGCATAATATTTAAAGTGTCTGCATATGGAAAACCATTAAATAAAGCGTCAATGAAGAGCGAGGCCTGACGCATTAAGGACTTGTTTTTCTCGGAGGAGGGCTCGATCGTGGGAAAGGGTTCGTCCCGGTAGGTGTATCTTTCGGTGTGTAGCAAATCTCGGCTGTAGTCAGATGAAGAGCGCCTGTCTTCGGACTGGCTGCTCTGATCGGCGCCAGGGCGAATGACCCGTTATCCCCCACCCCCACCCTTGGTGTTGTCGCAGTGACTTGACTGCCCTTCGTAGGCTTAGGTCTTCAACGGTGGAGTGGCAGGAATTGGGTAACAGTTTAGAGGGTTGGCGGCTCTGGTCTCCACTTGTCTTGAAACACGGACCAAGCAGTCAAACTTGAGCATGAATCATAGGGCAAAAACATGTCCTTCTCGTAGATTCCTTCTCAAATAAAACAGGGACTACTATCACCATTTCTTCTCTACCCATGATCAATTGGACAATTGGTGTCTGGTGTGTGAGTGTAAGGCGTCGTCTGTTAGAGGAAGAGTGGCTGCCAAGGTGTCCGTTGACCTATAGCAATAATGTAACGCAATTCATCAGGGGTACAACAGGCGCATGTTTTGTTCCTGGTTAAATTTATCACAGAGAACATTATATCATAAGTTAATTCAAGGCTCTCTCCGTAAGTGGGGCTAAGCTATTGACATATTTTTGTAAAAATCTTTTTGTTTTCCAAGAACTTGTGTTGTGGCAACGAGATAACGCATGTACTGTAGGTAAACATAGGCTGACTATTTCTCCAAGGCTTGTTGAAATTTCATGACCAGTTTATTTTTCTTCGTCGCCAAGTATCAATGTTGATATAGTTGGTAGTACAGTAGTAAGCCGAGAATGGTTATCCACAGTGTCAATTGTATGCAGCAAAAGCCTTGTGTACACTTCCTCGTGGTTCCTGAACAACAGGCATTTCTGAGTGTTCAAGTGGTTTTAATATCTCTCCAAATTAATATCTCTCCAAATCAAGATACATATTAATTCCCTCTGGTTTTGCTCGAACAAACATCTTGGTATATTACTTTTATACTTTGGCCAGATCATTCTGTTGATAAAGAAGGGCAGCCATGGAATGTGTTGTATTTTATACCATTAAGAGTCTCTTCAATTTGATCAAAGTGTCAGTGGCCGAATCTCTCATAGCAGCTCCTTCAGAAGTAACGGATCTTCTATATTTAATTGTTCTCATAATAGTGGCGATAGGAAGTGTTTGACTTCGGCGTATGTCCAAGAGCATGCAAAGTCACAGTGCATTTGGAGATAGTATGCGACTGGAAGATATTAGCTGGTATCCAAAATTTCAGTACGACTTAACACCTTCTTGTTGGATATTATGTTGGTTAACAAGCATAAAAGTTTCCTAGACCAAGTGGAACGAAATCTTTGCATAATGTTAGTGTAACACTATTAGTGATAACGGAATATCAGTTTTGTAAATATAAGATTTATTTACACCAGGAACAAGAATATAAAACAGAAACATAAATAAAACAGGAACATAACTCAAACAGGAACTAAACTACATCAGGAATATAACAATAACATTAACATGATACATTAAGACAACAATTCTGCCCTTCAGCCACGGCCGATATTCGTTCTCCTGAATCTCCTCTGCTTTTCTCTGCTCGTCTCAGGGTCTTATATATACCTTAGTATTACATTCTATTTAATCAAAAGCATTATCACTACATCTGGAAATTATTTAGTCCGTAATTAAATACGTACAAATATGTACGTATATATATGTAGTGGACAGCACAGTTTATATCTTAGATCAATAACATGAGGTTCAAAGGGTTCGCAGATATCGAGTTCAAATTGGTTCGATGTATCTAGATATATTTTACATGTATAAATTATGGTCTTATATAATATAATACAAGTTATTGAGCACTTTGTCATATTCAATAATAGATACTGTAAAACTATTAGTAGTGATAACAGAATATCAGTTCTGTAAAAATAAATTTATTTACATCAGGAACATAAATATAAAACAGCTACATAAATTAAACAGGAGCATAAATTAAACACTAACTAAACTACACCAGGAAACAATAACATTAACACGATAAGTAGAGAATTAATAAAAACATTTTTATTTTTATCGCTTTCTCTTATCTCATGACAGTCAATTCCTTTTAAGAATAGTTCTTTTCGAACAGATATCAACTCACAGTCTCGTATAACAATACTTCGTCTTCAGTTGAAAATCGACTGTGTGTAATCACTCTCTACTTCAGACCAGTAAGGATAACTCATGTTTTGTGTCACTTACTGATTCTTCAAATCATTGCTACGATCAACCATATCAAAGATCTCTGTGTTAAAATTATAGCTGGAATGTGTAAAATGATTTTAAAGGATCACAATGTTACTAATTCAACGATTTTTCGAAGAATGGCAACATACAGATATAATGAATTTCTAATAGGGTTGTCAGTCCAAAAATGGTTAAATGCCATTCCTGGTATTGACAAACATACGATGAAGCGAAATTCCATGCAAATGTTACATTTTACTTCTTTTGCTTGACATAATCTGCGCGTAATACAGGTTTATATTTCTTCGAAGTTGTAATTTACGATAGGCTGATTGTTGTCAGGTGACGTCCGTCGTCATCTTAAGCTGTTCGCGAAATCCGACTGATTACAAGCCAGGAGAAAAGCTATAGCGTTGTTAATTATTTTGATTTTGTTTTCAAAATTAAATGTTAAATAACAAATTATAATACACATTAGCATGGATTAGGCCATGGGAAAATTCAAATCGCGCACCGTTATTTTTAAAAAGAAATAACCTTGTAATAATCACATGTACTAACTTTAATCAGTAGAGCATGTTACAGAATGAATTTAACTATGTGTTTCAATCACAGAAGAAATATATGCAACACATGGCCTCCGACCCCACTATGCTTGTGCAACCATAATATAACAGATAGTAGCGTACTATGGGCCAGAATCTGAGTATGACGTCATCTTTGAATTGTGACGTCATGTCTAAACGCGAAATACGTCAATTAAGGCACAGTTGTCCAAGGAACCATCATGCCTAATTTTATGTCCATCGTACATGAATTGCCGGAGCCTTAGGCTTTTTTCGAAATGCGCCACCAACAAGAACATGATCAGTAGCGCTAAGGGGCCAATTACTGGCCCTAAAATGATATTTTGTGTGCTATTTGCGATTTTTTTAATTTAAATCACACAGTGTGCTGGAGAAAAACACAAAGTATGGCTTATCTGAAGCTTCTTAATCGTTAAATGGTTGGATTTTACGTATAGAGTCAATATCTATGATTTTTTACGGTTGCTGTGGAAACCAGGAGAAATAACTATTATAGCCCATTTTGAAAATCGCCCAAGAACCGATTTCATAATGTCGATAAAATTACCTTTCCAACTATACCAAATAACCCTTGTTCTACCATAGGAAGGGGCATCAGAAAAAATATGGGCTTAAACCGCTAGCCTAACTAACCTGGAAATTGTATACAAAGTTTTTTTTATGATTGAATTTAGTAGCCTAGGGTGTCCTCGTTCAGAATCTGCCGGGTGAACCTCGGTCACCCTTGAGCGTTTTGAGAAATTCAAGACGGCGTCCAAGACGTCTGGCACATCAAATAATCCCCAATAGCTCCCATAGTATTTATTCTAGGATGATAATTTTGGTGTCTAACCGTATGTTTCTGGGGTCAAGGAATACACTGAAATCATTTATTATGTTGTGGGGTGATTAGATGATATTAAAATCATACATGCCAGACAATATGGCCCAAAATTGACAGACAAAATGGCGGCTGTTCGTTCTCAAATAGCGTAAAAATATGGTATATCAAGGTTGTAGACCCTATAGAGGTCACAACTTTAATCCAATTTTGTTGAAACTTGAAATGTAAGTTTATAACCCAAAGATCTTGGTTTATTAAGATATTCACGCAGATCTGACCGTAACTTCCTGAACTATGGCCCCTGATTGTACGAAAAATCACGTTTTTAGCACCGTTACACCCTAAGGACGGCTGAGTTCGAATTTCGTGAAAATCGACCAAAAACTGACAGACAAAATGGCTGCCCTTCGTTCTCAAATAGCGTAAAAATATGGTATATCAAGGTTGTGGACCCTATAGAGGTCACAATTTCAATCCGATTTTGTTGAAACTTCAAATATAAGTTTATAACCCAAAGATCTCGGTTCCTTTCGATATTCGTGCATATCGGATCGTAACTTCCTGAATTATGGCCCCTTATTGTACGAAAATCGCGTTTTTAGCTTGTGGACCCTATAGAGGTCATAATTTTTATACGATTTAAAAAACCGTATTATTATATCACCGTTACACCCTAAGGACGGATGAGTTTGAATTTTGTGAAAATCGGCCCAAAATTGAGAGACAAAATGGCCGCTGTTCGTTCTCAAATAGCGTAAAAATATGGTATATCAAGGTTGTGGACCCTATATAGGTCACAATTTTTATCCGATTTTGTTGAAACTTGAAATTATGTAAGTTTATAACACAAAGATCTCGGTTCCTTTCGATATTTGCACATATCGGATTGTAATTTTCTGTATTTTGTCCTTGATTGTAGGAAAAATCACTTTCTTTGTAGCTTGTTCTCTTTCCATCTCTCGAAAATGTGGGCGTATCCTGCCTGGCAGCCGCTGGTTATCCGATTTTGTTGAAACTTGAAATGTAAGTTTATAATCCTAAGATCTCGGTTCCTTTCGATATTCGCGCATATCGGAACGTAACTTCCTGAATAATGGCCCCTAATTGTACGAAAAATCGCGTTTTTAGCTTGTGGACCCTATAGAGGTCATAATTTTTATCCGATTTAAAAAAACGTATTATTATATCCCCGTTACACCCAAAGGACGGCTGAGTTCGAATTTCGTAAAAATCGACCCAAAACTGACAGACAAAATGGCTGCCCTTCGTTCTCAAATAGCGTAAAAATATGGTATATCAAGGTTGTGGACCCTATAGAGGTCACAATTTCAATCTGATTTTGTTGAGTTTGAATTTTATGAAAATCGACCCAAAGCTGACAGACAAAATGGCCGCTGTTCGTTCTCAAATAGCATAAAAATATGGTATATCAAGGTTGTGGACCCTATAGAGGTCACAATTTTTATCCGATTTTGTTGAAACTGAAACTTGAAATGTAAGTTTATAACACAAAGATCTCGGTTCCTTTCAATATTTGCGCATATCGAATTGTAATTTCCTGAATTATGCCCCTTGATTGTAGGAAAAATCACTTTCTTTTTAGCTTGTTCTCTATCCATCTCTCAAAAATGTGGGCGTATCCTGACTGGCACCCGCTGGTTATGCTAACGTTTTCACCGCAATAGCGGCTCTTCAAGCATTTTTTAAACAATAATTCAATTAACAATAGTATATGACGTCATAGTTACATGATAAAATTATTATACAGGCAAGGGTAGTTATTTCTTAGCCTACAGACTACAAATATTCAATCTCACTACGGTCTTTATTTTATATAATTTAATTATTCTCTTATTTAGAATTAAGTTTCGGGTGGTACTTCTCAATAAAATAGCTTTTTTTGCCTCCAAGAGGTTGTTTTTGCTATTAAGTCTATATAAAGGAAAAACACAGGTTTTACACTTTGAATTACCACATTTCGAAACTGTTGGTATTGAAGCGACTGAATCATATTTAGAAGATGTTATAATCCTAGCTAGATTGGAAGGTTGCTTTAGACTGTTGATTATATTTGTTTTTCTCAATATTTTATCCATCGTTTGGCTATTTTTAAGGATATGGATACAACGTTCCTTTTATCAGAGTTTACAGGAACTTTAGGTTGTCTTAAAACACTTTGATCCACACTCAATGCTCTTTGGTTAGCATCATCTATTAATTCACCTGGATATTTTTGTTTTAATAAGAAACCTTTTAGTTCCTGTAGTCTCTGAACTTTGACATCTTGATTGTACACAATTGTACTAATTCGTCTAGTTGGGTTATGTGGGATGTTTCGTTTCGTATGAGAAGGGTGACAAGAGTTAAAATTTAGATATTGATGTGTATCGTTTTTTTTGTAATACACATCAGTTTCAATAGAGCCGTTTGCGTGTAGCTTAACTGTCACATCCAAAAAATTTAATGTGGTTTGACTCTGCTCAGTTGTAAACTGAATACTGTCATCTAAACTATTTAGCATTTTATGAAGCTCTGAGATAATTTCTTGAGATACACTGAGTATCACAGAACAATCATCTAAAAACCATTTCCATGATGTCTTAATTAAATCACCGAATTCATTGCCAAACATTGTTCTCACCCTCTCATACCACATTTCCTCAAGATAACCTAAAGTTAAAGTAGCATAGGGAGAGCCAACTTTTGTACCCATAGCAACTCCCTTGATTTGTGTATAGTATAGGCTATTGAAGAAAAATATGTTATTTGATATTGCAAGATCTAATGCACCAAGGATAAATGAATTTGAAAACCGGTCTGGTATGAGGTCTGCATGGTTATTTAGCCAATATTCGACAGCTTTTAGTCCCAGATCTTTGCTTATATTGTTATATAAATTAACTACATCAAAGCTAATAATTGTGCAGGTTCTACCTGTGCAGGTAGAAAATTTATATCATCGCGAAGAAAGCTTTAACGCGAGAACATAATGGTTTAAGATGATGTTTATAAAGTTGCTGGGTACTGCTATTGGGTTCCCCTATGATTGGTCGAAATTTTAAGTCTTCTGGACTAAGTACTTCAACAACTTCATCATTAGATTGTGACGTCATAGACTATTGTTAATTGAATTATTGTTTAATAAATGTCTGAAGAGCCACTATCACGGTGAAAACGTTAGCATAAAAATGTAGTTTTATTTTGCCATCTTTAATTTCAATTATATATATATTTCCAGAAATATTAGCACAACCGTAAAGCTGCACTACTTTGTTTCACGGTAAACGATGAAAAGATAAAAGGTATGCCGAGACAAACTGATTTCAACACTGGTTTAATAACATTTTAACATTTTAAAGTACTTTTCCTCCGTCTTGGGACTATTCATAAATAATGTCATTGTATAAAAATGGACAGTATAGTATATTTATACATATTTACATAGTAACACTGTGGTTCTAATTGGCTATAGTTACTATTGTCTATGGTTACATAGTATATCGTTAACTAATAGAAAACATGTACACACATGTGTTAATGTGTTAATTATAACAATGGGCCAATCACTGAATCCATGTTGAATGAAAACCGTCGGTAACTTAAAACGGTTACTAAAAGACAGTCTTGCTCAAAGAAAACACCCCGATGTATATAAAACACCAGTGAACATTCCATCATTCTTAAAAATTATTTATTCAGAATGGCTACGAGACGAACCGCTTATACCGCTAAGGAGAAGTTGAGGGTAATTAGTTACGCTGAAGCACACGGTAATAGGGCCGCGGGTCGTGAATTTAGTTTGGGGGAGTCAAACGTGAGACGTTTTGTTTTTCTTATATCCATATTTTATTATATCTATACTGTGCCTATAACTATGCTGTGCTATACTGGTGAACCTGTTTGTTTTTATTATATGTTTTTATTATACTTGTGTTAATTTTTTATGTCATTAAAATATATTTTAGTCGATGGCTTAAATTTTTTCTGTTCTTCGATATATTCTGCCAGTTTAACTGTAATCCCGCCCATTAACGCTGTCATTGTAACAGACAATACCCATAGCCTATGGTATAATGAGCGTGTGCTCAATGGAAATTACCCTTCTAATAGCCAATGAAAACTCTTTGTCTGTCGAAAGCCCCGCCTTTTCGTCAACTTGACTGATATCACCGTTGACGACACACTGTTTGGATTGCCAACAGTGGCTAACTGTACCGGTAAACGGATTAGCAGAAATATATGTCATCAAATACGCAGGAATAATAGAAATATTAACGAGAATTTTGCAGGTATTGTTAGCACTGTCGTTTATGACTAACGGTATACGGAAAAGCCGGAATAATAGAAATATGACTAACGGTATACGGAAAAGCCGATACCGTATCTTAAATGGCCGCCATATTTATTGCACGAAAAAAGACGACATCGGAATGTCGGAATAGCAGAAAAATATGTCATCTAATTATTTACGATATCTTTGCAGATATTTTAATAACACTAAACCGCTATTGACCCATATTGTTGCCACTGTCATCTATGACTAACGGTATACGGGATATCGGTATGGGAAATGGCCGCCATCTTTATTGCTGTTGTCGATATGATCAACTTCAGACCTCGATGTTGACACACAGAAAAGCCAAGATTTGCTTAATACTATGTATAAGGCGCACCCCTTCTAGAAAATAAAATACCTGGTAAAAAAAGTGCGCCTTATACACCGAAAAATACGGTAATGCTATCAAGACCGGCTTATACTTACAAGATGTTTGTCAAAACGTTCCATTTAGGACAACACGTATACATTTAATAATACATATAACATAGAAAACACATACATTTACACACAAGTAATACATTCATACAGACATGCGATACTCTTGTTGGCTAATAGTCTTGTTTCATCATTTTCATTCTATTATGGATAATCGCTCCTAAATATTTCCAATTGTAAATTAAATTATGAATTAGTCCATATACGATTCGAAACATTTATGTGTTCTCCTTTACATGGATCTTTACGGGGAAAAAAGTCAAAATGGGAAGGTTATTTTCCGTATAATGCTATGAAGACCGGCTTATACTTACAAGATGTTTGTCAAAACGTCCATTTAGGACAACACGTATACATTTAATAATACATATAACATAGAAAACACATACATTTACACACAAGTAATACATTCATACAGACATGCGATACTCTTGTTGGCTAATAGTCTTGTTTCATCATTTTCATTCTATTATGGATAATCGCTCCTAAATATTTCCAATTGTAAATTAGATTTACTGTGGAGTGAGGCACGAATTTCGGAATGCGATGATGTTTTGGGTGATTTCAACACCAGAGATGCTTCTTAAAGGAGACATACAATCCCTGCAATCGACCCATGACAATTTCTAGATATCAAAAGTAGTTTAGAGCTGTGATTAATTACAATGTTCGATTTGTGTATTCCACCAATGCTACTTCTATTTATATATACATGTATGCGAAGTGGATAATTATTTTGATATAATATTTGTATTTTCATCATTGTGTTCCATACAGTGCCGGCGCCAGCCGTCGGTGGTTGGAGGGGCAAAGCTGGGGCAAAGTCCAAGGTTAAGGGGGCAAAGGGGTAGGGAGGTCTCCTTCAGACAATTTTGAAAAACAGGCTGCCGTAAATGCAGCCTGGCAGTATTTCAGGCACTGATCGTTGAGGTAAAGTGTCAAACTAACAGACCTATGAACCACGACAAAGCCCAATCACGAGCGCCAAATTGGAGACCTTCCCCCGAAAATTTTGAAAAATAGACTGCGGGAGATGCTGTCTGACAGTATTCTGTTAGGCACTGATCGTCGTGGTAAATAGGTCTGACTAGATACCGTCCGTCGCCTGATCACTAGTTTATCGACCAGAGAACAAAATGTCAAACAAACGGACATGTGAACCTCAACGAAGTCCCCTTGTGAGCGCCAAAGCAGCGAGTCCTTGTGGGGGTATTGGGGACCTGATCACTATTCTATCTGACCACCGAGAGGGATGTGTCAAATGAACGGACTTGCAAACCTCTACAAAGCAACCGAAAATTTTGAAAAATTCACTCTCGGAAATGCAGTCTGGCAGTATTTCAGGCATTGATCGTCGAGATAAATATAGCTTACCAGATACCGCCTGTCGCCAAATCACTAGTTTATCCAAACAGACAGGAAAGTGTAAAACAGACGGAGTGAGTGGCTCAAAGTGAATGAATATTTTCATTTGTCGCGATATTTTGTGACATAGACTGCCGGAAATGCAGCCTTGCAGCATTTCAGACACTGGTTGTCGAGATAAATAGAGCTGACCAGATACTGTACGTCGCCAAATCACCAGCTTATCCGAATAGAGTGGGTCTATCAAGTGAATGTATATTCTCGCCGCGTTGACATATACCCAAAAACTTTGAAGATCGTAAAAAGCACTTCCCATGTGATTCACATGTTATTGTTTACAGTGGGTTTACAGCAGGTTTACAGCAGGATGGGCTTGGTAAGGAATCACTCAGACTCTACAACATGCAAGTATATGACTGAATGGGGATGTGGGATTTAAACAGTGTAGAAAGTATTGATTACCGAAACGTTTCACAAATACATTTTTTTTATTTTCTAGAATTATTGGGGGGGGGGGCAAACAGAGGGCAGACCAGATTTATTGGGGGGGGGGGGGCAAATGCTCCCCTTAGCGCCGCCACTGGTTCCATACATTTCTGTCTCCTCATTAACTATATGCTTTTTATCTGTTCGTAATAATATTATATTGTTAACGATTGTAAATATGGATCTAGTACTGTCAAGCTTAATGTAGGCTATAGTAACCTGTGATTGTTTCCCATAAACACTGTGTTCTGTTAAATAAAAGGGTGTTGATAAGAAAATTTGTTCGCAAACTAACTAATAAGTCCACAATAAATAAATACTTTAATTTTAACAAGCACACACCTGAGACATTATCAACAATGCGAAAGTAATTTAAAATGGCTGTTAAATCGAATAATGCCTAAAAGGAAGTTTAGTCTCCTTCAATTTTAAAATTCCTTGTTGTACTGATAACTTTGCCATAATTTCAAGTGCATAATTAATGTTGACATCAACATTATTGTCATCTGCCTTTCGAAGAAAGCAGAGAACTATTAAAATGGGCCTGTTCGTCTGTCTGTTCATCAAGCCATTTGGGACACAATAACTCTTATTGAGGTAGAATTTTTAAACTTGGTGTAGGTGTTGATTATGTGAATGGCTTGATGGAGTTCGAAGATGCGCATTTTATGTTTAGGATCAGCAGAGATAAGCAATTTGATTGGTTGATTGGTCATAATGTGGCACAAAATATGACCTTTGTCACCAGTCTTACACCAAGTTTGTTCAAATTTTGTCGCTCTTAAGTGATATTGTTGGCTTCCTGACTTGGTTAGCTAGCTTTGTTTCAGCTATGGACTCTAAATTTTAATTATGGTCACAAATTAGTGCTAATTAATTAGCTCTTAAGTAGCATTAGTACAGCATTTCATGCTCTTAAGCAGTCATTTTGTGCAGTGAAACTAATAGAAATGGTGTTAGAAAGAAAAATAATCCCGGACAAGACAATTTAATCAAATACACTCAAACGTCATTCTGTGACCTAAAATTTGACCTTTGACCCTTGTCACCTTTGAACCACTCTTAAGCAAGGTTTGTTCAACTTTTGTCGCTCTTAAGTGATATTTTTTGTTTCCTGACTTGGTTAGCTAGCTTTTAGGCTTGTTTCAGTTATGGACTCTAAATTTTAATTATGGTCATTGATTAGTGACCTTTGACCTTTGAACGAGTCTTAAGCAAGGTTTGTTCAACTTTTGTCGCTCTTAAGTGATATTTTGGTTTCCTGACTTGGTTAGCTAGCTTTTAGGCTTTGTTTCAGTTATAGGCCGTGGTGTGAAATTTCTAGCTAGTTTGCTTCTGTTTCTCATTCCCGACCATTTTCGGGTGAAAAAAAAACTACATCATCTAATTCTTCTAGTATTACTTTGTATTGTCACACAACTTTTCTTTTATCAATTCTTTGACATTTGATAGAAAACGGAAATTAAATATGGGCTTACTTGTCAATGTGCAATGGTATTTGAATTTCGCGGTGACTCGGTTTAAACAGATCACGTGACATAATTGGCCAATCAAGCATACACGACGATAAGTTCAACAGGTCATGTGGTGAAAGGTCACTGCTCTTTGTTTACGCTTTGATATTAACGGTACATGGCGGAAGGATAGCTAAAGTAAAACTGCATAGCTCGAATACAT